CACACACACACACACACACACATAAATATATATATGATTCAGTTGCCTCTAACCCTAAAATATGTTCTACCCACCTCAGTAATACAGCAGAATCTGACAAAAAAGCACCAACTGCTACATCTGTAAAAATAAATGAATTAATGACTGAATAAATAACTGAATAAATAAATAAATAAACGAATCAGGAATACGGTTTGAGGACTGAAGCATTATAAATGTTCTATTTGGCACTTCTCTTTTATTGCACATTCATCTCCAGACTACATCAAAGTGCTGTTTGCACATCATTAATTACAAGAATATGCTGATACATTAAGGCATGTTTAAAATCATAAAACAGATTTATCAAAATATGGCTTCATTATTTTAATTAATTTATTTACTTCTGCTCCAAATCCACAAGAAATCTGAAATGGAGGAAAGTAAATTGTAGAGCCCTCTAAATGGAAGATCAATTATTTGTAGCAAAAAAAAATTAAACAACTGCTCAAAATATAAAGGTAGTAATTTACGATTCCCCCTGCTTCTGCAGCCTTCTTTCCGATTATATGTGCAGGGAAAAGGGGTTCTTTGGACATCCCTGGCCTTCACATTTTGAAAAAGGTTCTTTAGGTAGTTTGCCTCAGTAACATCTGTGGGATCTTACTGAATTCATCAGAATGAGAAAAGCAGTATTGTGGCATCATGGCACAAATTCCACTTCTCTGGGGCCTCTGTACAATACAATATCCAATGTAGAAAAAAAGCAGGAAGTGCCTCATGATGCCATAGCACCGCTTTTATCAGTTTGACTCCTTCTCTTACACATGCTGCTGCTTCAAATTTCATATGCAGTCAAGAACATATGGAAAAGTCAAGAAACCTTGAAGCATATCCTAGTTTCAATGGGCAAAGAAAAAGCATTTCCCCTCTAGGGATGTGCGGATAAAGTTAGTGCATGCGTCCTAATTTCTTCTGGCACCATAGAACATACGGCCCCTCTGTCCTTCTGTTGGTTGCCTAAAGGGGTCTGTTGCATCACTCCGGGAAACACTCAGTTAACGAAGGAGTTATAACAAAATATTCTCGTCAAAAAAGCACTTTCCACAATATCTGAGATATTGGAAGAGAATGACATACATTTCAGTTGTGGTGTAAATATACCAAGTGTTCTGTCCACTTTCTTATTTCTCCTGGCTTTCCTAGGAAATATTTACTAGAATTGTTGAAGGACTTGTTCTGCCTGCAAATGTGTTTGGATTACAAACTACCTCCAACATTATACAGGAAAAAAAGAATGTTGTCAACATCATTAGCCTCTGTGCTGGCACAACACATCTAAATGTTCACCTCACACTTCCTAAGAGTCAAAGAAGCTAACATGAGTACTATAATAATGATTTATTTTCATTTCACTCCTCTTTTGAATCTTCTCTTTATAACTTCTCTCAAGTAAAATCCTGCATGCAGAGGCTGTTTCCCCAATGTGACAAATCAACTTGTTAAAATATCAGTGAATATGCCTGCATGCTTCTATTTTCAACATAAGATGCCAGCAACATTTGGCGAGAACACTTCAGAGAGCATCTTCATGATTTCTTCTGGGCTTCTCAGGGGTGATATTCATTGGATAGAAGCTCAATGTAGAGAGTTTATTGATTTTTCCCTTTTTTTCTTTTTTTTCTTTTTTTTTATTTCTTTCTTTTTTCCTT